TTGGCGCAGGCGGGTGACGTCCGCCAGTATAGTAGTAAGCAGCTCCTCTCTGGGCGCAGGAGGGCGACGTGCGTTTCCTCATCTGCACCGACGTCGCCGCGCGCGGCCTCGACATCAAGGAGCTGCCGTGCGTCATCAACATGACCCTGCCCGACAAGGAGGAGGACTACATCCACCGCGTCGGCCGGGTGGGCCGTGCCGAGGTGGTTGGACTCGCGGTGAGCCTCGTCGCGAGCGGGCACCGGGAGAAGGTGTGGTACTACGACCGGCGCAAGTGGGAGGGCAGGCCACTCAGCACGAAGCTCGCCGAGCTCGGCGGCTGCTGCATCTGGTACGACGAGCCCGCCCTGCTGCGCGGTGTGCAGAAGCGACTCGGCGGCGGCGAGGTCGAGACGCTCGACGCCTTCCTCGCGCGGCTCCCGGGCGGCGTGCGCTCCCTCAACGCCAGCCTCGGCCAGGCCAAGGAGAACGGCCTCGACGCGGCGTCTGCGGAGCGCCTGCTCGCGCTCGCGCCGACGGTGGCGACGCTCGAGGCGCTCGAGACGCGGGCGCAGCTCTCCTTCTTGCTGGGGCCGACGGCGCTGTCGCAACGAGCTGCAGCTGGAGACGATGTCGCGTTGCGGGGCGGGGCGGCGTCATTGGGATCGCAGCCACCTAGCCCCGCCATTGCTGGCCCCGATTCGGTGGCCAGCAAGGGCGCAAAGGGCAGGCACACACACCGCGCTCGCCAGCGCGGGGGACGCGGCCGAACAAAGTAACGTAGGGTGCGTGTGACCGTGTGTGGCATGTATCAATTGGTACTGAGGTTGAATATTAATTGATAAAGGTCACGCACCCGAAAGCTTGTGTAAAGGGTGTGGACTGTGAGTTGAGGAAATCGGGGGACGCGACCCACTTCGCCACAGGGCTCAGACGGTCCCGCGCCTCGCCGCTATGGGGACGGGGACACACCCCGCGCCGTCCGCTGTATGTGTCCCCGTCTTTGTCCGGAGTGAATACTCCAACGCACTCGTCGGTGACGGTGTCCCCCAACTTCCGCCGCGCTCGGCGAACCTCGACAGCGCCTTCGGTGGCATGCATCTCTTTGCGCCTGAAGCCTGGAGAGCAGCTCCTCTGCTGCTCACACACTCTGCACAGTTGACACAGCCTACTGTGCGGCTGCCACAGCTGTGACAGCGCGATGGGCTCGCCCTCACTGGCCCTCAGTCACTTGTGCTGTGGCTTGTGTGAGCGACACTGCTCGGCGACTGCCGGCACACTGTGAGACCATGGGTGTGAGGTTAAACCACGCTACCAGCGCTTGGTCACATCGGCCCCGAGGTCAGATCCTTCTACTCTGTTGATGACAACACTTGTCTACTCGCTGGAGCCGAGCAGGAGGGCCCAGCGCACAACCCCTGGTCAACTCAGGGTCCACACCCCGTAGTTGTGGAGACCCCGCGCGCACGCGTGCCACGCAGCACAGTGCGCTCACGAGGAGGCTGTGATGCGCAATGCGGCTATGGCGACGAGCTCTACTTCCAGGTGCGCGTGGAAACTGGCAGCTGGGGAACGGCGGCGCAAGATCTCGAGGGTTGCTCTCCAACCCTCCTCCGTCCGCCAGAGACAGCCCCTCCCTCCCTGGGACCCGACGGAGCACTTGGACGGGGACCCGCCATCAAAAGGATCAATCACCCTCGCCCAGGGATCTGCGATGCTGTCTTAAGGTCCGATAGGTTCGGCACCGGGCACCGCCTTGGTATACAAAATCTGGGGCCGACCTTCCAACTCACAAGCTCACAGCAAATCTTGTAAAAAAGCGCCCGCCGTTGGGAAACGTGGAAGTGCTCAGAACGGCGCGACGTTCTGTCGGCGCGCAACAACACATCCGCCGCGTACGCCTCGGCGCAGCGCGGCAAGGCCGCGCTCTGCTCGCATGCGGCGCGGCGGGCTCGTGCTATTGCTGGCCGCCACGGCGGCGGGGCAGCTGACTAAGTGCTTGATGGGGGGGCAGCGCTGCAACGTCGGTGAGGTGAGGCAGTGCTGTGAGCGGCATCAGTGCGTTGGCCATGATGCCAGCAGTACTCTCGAGCCAGACATGACCGAGGCTGCGGAGGCGACGTGCCAACGTATTGGCGCCAAGCCAACGGCAGAGGAGTACTTGAATCAGCTGCGCACTTTCTACTTGACGAATGCACCACCAAAGGCCGAGGACGACCAGGCGCTTATCTTCACGCTGCGACAGTGGAAGGACCGAGAGGAGCTAATGTGCGCCTTCCGCCCTGCGCCTGTACTGCCTTAAATCCCCGCGCGGAGTGGCCGAATCGAACAGCACCACCCCCTTACTCCCATGCGGGCTCTGCTAAGCTGCCGCTCCACGTTACGTCCCACAGGTTTCACATGCTGTTGCAGCGCTATCCGGACCCGAAGCACGAGTTGTAGCGTGAGGTGTGGCGCTGAATTCGCTGCAACTCCAACTGTACTGTGTGCGTTGTGTGTCGTGAATATAGCCTAGGAGTGAGAGCGGTGGAGAGAGAGAGGTGCGCGGTCGCGTTTGAGGGGGCGCAGGCGGGCGCGGGGGGGCGTCGCCGCGTCCGGCCTGTGTGACTTGGCGCGTGGGCGATGCTTACACATAAACTTGCACTAAAAAACACATACACACGCGGCGTCTCGTGGCATGGCTCGCGGCCAGCCACCTCACGCCTCGGACCCGCTTCCACTTATTACAGGTCCGCCGGCACCCACCTCGTCGCCAAACGCGACCGCCGCGTCGATGAGGTTGAGACTGTGGCGGCTGATCCGGAAGCGGCGCGATCCGGAACTGGCGCGATCCTCGCCTCCGCCGGGCGGCGCGACCCGCGAGATCTCCCACACGTGGCCGCTGAAGGTGCGCTGCACGTGGTACGAATGTGCCGCGACGACGCCGTACGAGTGCGCGACGCCGCTGCCGTTGATCCAGGCGAGGTAGAGGTCCGTCTCTCCGCGCGAGTTGTCCACCTCCATCTCGACGGGCTGCGCGCCCTGCGGGTCGGAGGCGGGGCGCGCGAGTCGCACCGCACGCAGCTTGCACGCCGTCTCGTTGGAGGCGGCCCCGGGCGCGAGGGAGGCGTGCCGCCCGCTCCACAAGGCGCCAACGAGCGCGAAGCCATCCGGGTCATAACGCGCAAGGCCCCACGGGCCAGGAGTGGGCAGCCGGTTGGCGTCGTCCACAAACTCGCCGTGGCTGCCCCAGTACCACATCGACAGCTCCGCAAAGTACTCCTCCGGCGCCGACGCGGCGTACGCGCAAGAGCCGTCCGGCCTCCGCCACAGCCCCTTGCGCCACGCGCCCTCCCAGCAGGCCGTGATTGCGGCCCTCGCCGCCGCGGGCAGGCCGTGGTCCATCACCGTGTGCGAGAGCTCGTGCGAGAGGACGCACCGCCCGCGGTAGCGAGGGTCCGCCTAGGGACACAGGCGCAGGACACAGGGTCCGCCACAGCAGCCGGTCGCGCCCTTCGAGGGCCGGAGAGGCTGCGCCTCGGGAGCGAGCAGGTTCTCCTCGCCGCACGAGGCCTGCAGCCGCCCGCCCGAGGGTTGTTAGCATGTGATCTAACATGTATGCTATTTACTTGGTGCAGTGTAGTCTTGTGGCGTAAAGCCTGCAGCCCGCCCATGCCTCGCGATCGCTCGTCGAGGGTCATCTGCGAGGAGGGGAGAAGCCGCCGCCGCCGCCGCTCGAGCTCGGGCGACAGCGCCGCGCGGTCTCGCCCCACCGACTCGGCGAGCCGCCGCGCCTCCTCGTCCTCCGCCACCTCGCCCGGCACGGCTCCGCGCACGCCGCGGAGGTGCCGGTGCTCGGGGAGGTCGGTGGTGACCTGGCGCGAGCCGATGAGGTGAAGCGCCGCTCCTCGCCGGCAGAGCCGCTCGATCACAGCCGGAGGCAAGCCGCGCAGCTGACGCGACATGCGGTCGGATGCGACGAAGAGCGCGCTGTCAGGCACGACCGAGTGCGCGCGGATGGGCAGGTGGTTGGGGACGGTCTTGGAGAAGAATCGGGCGCTGAGGCTGCGGCCTGAGCGCGGGTGGCGCGCTGCGCTCGAAGTGTGCCTCCGCTCGGCCACCCTCGCTCGGATGGCTGCCTCATCGGTGCCGAGGATCGCGAGCAGGTCTCGGTGGGCTGCGGCGAGTGCGGTGAGCCGCTCGTCGGGAGGGCGGACCAGCGACCGTGGAGAGGACGACGAGGAAGAGGTGGGCTCAGGAGGATGAAGCGCTGCGTGCGAGACCACTGTTGGCGGAGTGTGTAGGCTTGGGAGTGCGAAGACGGTGGAGAGCATATGTTGTACGCTCGAGGAGGCGCACTAGCTGGCGTATTGCAAGACTGGCCCCCCGCGCCGGAAGAGAAAAAGAAATGCCGTGCGCTTGTTTATGTTTAGCCCTAATCCTCCTAGCGCATCACACCCCTCTCCTTAAAATCCCTGTGTGGTGGCGGCGTGCCGTCCTCCCATCCCTCCCTTGGGTTGTCTGTTTTCTTTCTTTCTTTCTGCCCTAATCCTCCCTTGGCGTTTCTGTTTTCTTTCTTTTTAGCCCTAATCCCACCAGGGGTTGACTGCTCTATTTATTTATTTATTTAGAGCAAGACCAAGAGGCTATGCCACCTAATGGGCCTCTATTTCTGCTGATACATCCGTGTATTAGCCCACACCAAATGTATTAAAGCGCGACGTAACGTTGTCACGTCTCGCCAACATGGCCTCGCCGGGACCGACAGGCGTCTCGAGAACGTCTCCGAGCTCTTCGGTGATAACGACGCGCGATCGGGGCGCCGCGCCGGCGGCGGGGAGGGGGGCGGGGGCGGCGAGGGCCATCTGAGCGCCCCGGGGCGCCCCGTAGGCGCGGGGGGGGGCCGCGGCAGCGGCCTCGGCCGAGGTGGTTCGAATTGGTCGAATTGGCGTAGCCTCGTCCACAAAACGGAGCCTAAGTTTGTTGTAGAGATTTCACGTTGTAGAGCGCCTCTACATCGCTCTACAACGCACCCGTCTCGTCCCGCGGCGGATGTAGAGCTCTACAGCTCTACAGCGCTCTAGAGTACATCTCTACAGCTCTACAGCGATCAACAATACCGCAGAGCCGCGCACACGGCTCACCACCACCACCACTTGCTGAACACCGACCTTCGGGTTCAGATGCCGATCCCTTTGCAAACGAGGGAAAAGAGACGTCTCGCGATACTACGGAGGGCCTCGACCAAGAACGGTCAGACCACCCTGATCCCTACCACACCACGTTGGGAGTAAGCTGTCGCGTAAGCGAGCCCAAGGGCGGCATCGATGTATTCAAGGTGAGTCATCGCCGCCTGACTCCGTTGGGATGGAGGCCACACCAGCCATTTTGCCTTCTGCCAGGCGGTTGGCGGGCTCCCTTCCGACGGAAGTCATGTTCACCCTGATGGGGTTTGGTTTGCCCGTGGCAGCGAGCAAGCCTACCGCAGTGTCTGAGCTCGCGGCAGGACGCGAGCATCACGCAACAACGAGACTTACACGCCCGAACGGGCATTCAACAAACATCAGACGAGGCTTTGGGTGTGCAGGAACCTGCCCAGAATCTCGGTGTATCACCATCGCCCCTGCTGGCTGCCGCGAGGCAGCCACCAGCACCAGTGCAGCTGCCGCAGTCAGGCGCACCCGGTGTGCGCAACTATCTCGACATCAAACATAATTTTGCCGCCAGCGCCTACGCGACCGAGCTCTCCTGCTCCGCCGCCTGCTTTGCTACGTGTCGAACCGCCAGTCGAGCCACCCAGCTTTCAGCTCGCCGCCTCGCGCGACACGCCATCCGAGGCTGTCGTCGCGGCCTGCAAACAAGGGAAGAGAGAAGAAGGACGCCTCGCGATACTACGGAGGGCCTCGACCAAGCATGGTCAGACCACCCTGATCCCTACCACACATCCTCTACACCCTCCCTCAGTAGAGCTCTATCTACATCCGGCCGGGATGGACTGCCTGCGTTGTAGAGCGTTGTAGACTGAGCGTTGTAGAGCGTTGTAGAGCGTTGTAGAGCGTTTGTAGAGCGCGATTTACTGATGATTTCACTGTGAATTCGCGCTCTACATCGCTCTACAACGCAGGGATGTAGAGCTCTATACAGCTCTACACGCGCTCTACAGCCTACAGCTCTACACGCGCTCTACATTCTACATCCTCTACACCCTCCCTCAGGGGACACTGTGTCATGTAAGAAAGAAAACAGAAGTCAGGGAGGGATGGGAGGACGGCACGAGAGATGGGCGAACGCACGAACCCGTCGATCATTTGTTTTGCGAAGACGACTTCGGTCTTCGCTGCATGTGCATGTACCCAAACGTGACCGTGCAAAAAAAAAGACGTCGCTGGCGTGGACGCGTTTTGCGCTCGGCTCGCCCAGCCCCAGGCCCCGCACTACCTGCACATCCCGCGCGATGCGGAGCTCGTGCGGCAGGTGTTTGTGAAGGTGGGCGAGCCAGGCTCCACCCTCCTGGACCTGCCGCATGTGTGCTCGTACGACTTGGTTGGTTGGTTGAGCAAGGCCTGCGGCGGGTGAGGTTGTGGTGAGGATGTGGTCCTTGCTCGCGGCGAAGAAAAAAGAATTTTCAGAAGACACAGGCTGTGCCTTTGTATTCGTGCGTCGCCCATCTCTCCCGGATAACAACAAAACAAACAAAAATCTCTCTCTCTCTCTCTCTCCCGGATATGCCTCCTCTCCTACACTTGAAGAAAAGAATTTCGCCCATAAATAAATAAATAAAACGGACATCCCAAGCTAGGGCTGGGTCGAGGACAGACAGTCCCCACCTGTGCAGGATTTGCAAAAGCGAGGGGGGGGGGGGGGGGCATCGCGGCGCGGAGAGGGCTGGGCACAGGGGTCAGGGCACAGCCACAGGGGAGGCATCTCTCTCGCATAGGATACGCACTCGGCGGCAAGGCTGGGCGTCCTATTTGTGCTCCCCTCCCGATCCCTCGCATCAGCCAGTGTATTTCTTTTGCGAACTTCTGCGGCGCTCTGTACACACAGCGCCCACCCCACTCCGCGAGCGCTGTGACCAGAGCAGCCGCGCGCGGCGGCCGAGCAGGAGGAGACATGTCCATCCGGCTGCGGGAGCTCATCCGCAACGTGCGGTCCTGCAAGACGCAGGCCGACGAGCGCGCGTGCATCCACAAGGAGTGCGCCTCGATACGCACAGCCTTCAAGGATGAGAACAATGAGCTGCGGCATCGGAACGTGGCCAAGCTGCTGTTTATCCACATGCTCGGGTACCCGACCCACTGGGGCCAGATGGAGTGCCTCAAGCTGATCGCCGGCAGCAAGTTT